GTCTCCGAATTTACGAGTACATCCGTGACAACTCCAGGTACAAAGTGACGCAGAGAGATGTGGCGAATCTTCTTACCCGAATTCGCAATGAGCTCCGTGGACAGGCCGATGATGATTTGGCTGTTGCCGAATTTCTTGTCGGCTTCGGCGAGGAAGACAAGAACAACGTGGTAAGTGTCGATGACACGTCAACGGGGGAGACAGGATCAATCTCACTGAGTACAGGCCACATGCGAGCGACGTTTGCTAAGTATCCGGAGCTGTTGCTGGTGGACTGTACGCACAAAACCAATCGGTAAGTTCATAACAGGTTCTACACCAGGTTTACATTCCTTGTTTCAACCAGGCTTCCAACAGGATACGAATCAGGTTTCGTACCAGGTTTCCTACCAGGTTTTAAGCTACGGCTCAAAACAGGATTAAACTGTTCATTCTTTTTAACGCTTGTTTTTATGTTTTATAGATACGACTACCAGCTTTGCAGTCTGATGGTGATGGATGCCTTCGGGTCTGGTCAGTTCGTACAGCACTCCGTTATCGAGACCAACTCGGATTGGCATATGCGGAAGGTCCTCAGCCACTTCAAAACTGTCAATGTCATCTGGGAGTCGCTCCGCATGGTGATGGTTGATAAAGACATGAGAGAGATCAGTGTGATACGGGAGGCATTTCCGGATGCTACTATTCTGCTCTGTCATTTTCACGTCTTGAAGTTTTTGCGAAGTGTGGTTCGTGAGGCTCGCTTCGGACGCTATTCGGCAGACGAGTACGACTCGATGAATCATCTCTTCTCCAATCTGGTAGACGCTCCGTCCAACGAGGAATACGCGAAGAATTATTCTATTTTGGAGAAGTTTTCCTGCGCGCATGGGAACACCTCCTTCTGGGAATACTTCTGTGAGAATTGGGACAAGTCGAAGGACATGTGGACTAGATATCGCCGCCAAAGACTGCCGCATTTTCGCAATAATACGAATAATCGCATCGAGTCCAATTTTGGAAAGCTCAAACTCGATCTTGATTCATCGTCCACAATGAAGGAGTGCTTGGAGTCTCTCATGCGTCATCAGCGTCGCGTAGAAAATGAAAGTTTAGCGAGAGAGTCGTTCAAAGGAAGGTGGACGCATTATGGCTATGATCAGGAGTTAAGCTTGGTGCTGCGTATTTGTACATCTTAGGTAGCGTCTACGATGAAATCTGAGTACGAGTTTGCTATTTCGAGTGAAGCCACAGCGCTATACGCCTTCCTTGAAAAGCCAAGCGATACCGTTGAGGTTATCAGCGGAGATCATCGTCACAATTTTTCAAAAATGGAGTGGTGCTGTGACTGCGATTTCAACCAGACGCTGAAGTTACCATGCCGTCATGTTATTTGCTATCTTCGAGTATCGGCTTTAGTTCCTGTGATTCCAGTGTCATTTATACATGAGCGCTGGTTATCAACTGGTGCCGCCCGCCCGGTGTCTCTCCCCCCGGTTGACTGCTTCAACTACACGAAGACAACTTGCCCCTTACGGAGTTACGATTCATCGACTGTTTTGGATTCGCGACAGAAGTATGGCGTAACTCGAAACTTGATGAGTCGGATATCTAGCGAAGTTTCCGATTTACCGATGTCTCAGTTCTGTAAGGAAACTGAATTCCTCAACGGATATTTCCGCAAACTACGAACGGGAATCACAGAAGCGCGGTATGAACCTGATCGCTGTCAGTCCGAAGATGCTGTCCTAAATCCTGGAAAACCTATAAAACCTGGGAGGAATCCTGGGATCAAACCTGTCGGGTTTACAAATGTGTTCGAGTCTATCTCGCAAAAGCTCAACATCTGCGAGATAGACTCGAACACATTTGTCGAAGCGTGCGAGGATATAATATCACAAAAACGTGATACGGACAATGTTGAAGGAGAGGCCAAGACTCAAGAAACAGGGAATGACTCGGACTTGGAAAGAAGTAGTGTCGAAAAACCTGACGCAATACCTACATCTACACCTGGTGTAAGACCTGGCAGTCAAGCTAGTGAACCTACGACGAACTCTACAGAGGACGGCTGCAAGGATCTATCAACAACGGAATCGTCTACCATCAAGTCGATTAACTTAAGCAAAAAGGTGAGGCGCGCCGGAAGACCGAAGGTTACAGCTGCTCAAAGGGTACAAACCAGGCGGGTTGCACGAAAACAGTTCAACTCAAGATTGGACAAAGGTGGCGAGTTGTCCTTCGAGGACGTCAGAGTTGTGGCAACAGCCATGGAAGGAAAAGATAAGAACTTACGCGAGATTTCAGATTTACTGGAGGTCTATCCAGTGAGGCATGGAGATGCTGAGCGTAAGCACCCCAAAGCTGGGACAGATCGGAAACCGATCCTAAGTGCAGCGTTATCCTTCCTGTTACTGAGAGTACATGTGCAGAAGTGCTTGGATGTCCTCTACAAGTCGGGCGCTGTCCCCCTACCAAGCCAGAATGATGATGACCTACCATACGTGAAGCTGACAGGTATCGGAAATTTTTCCCTCTATCAAGTCGATTGTATGCAAAAAATGTGAACTCTGAGAAGCGTTTCGGAAAAAGGACAAAACGCTGTAGAATGGCTAACGTCGATTCAAAAGGACAAAACTGAAGCTGATCACGCCGCAAAGTATTTGTTAGAGTCCCATCCATATCAGATTGTGGATGATAGTCTACACTGCGATCTAGACTACTCGACGCTATATCGGCTACAGCCTGGGGACTGGATTAGCGGCCAGAGTTTTGAAGCGATTGGAGCATTTTGGACCAAAGCATATAGTGCTCGAGTTATGCTGACACAGGAGTTGAAACTGAACAGGAAGGTGAGAATGGCGGAGCTACCTGCTGATGTTGTGCAAGAGCTGAAGACGTGTGATACGAAACTCGTTTTCCTTCCACTCAATTTTGATCGCATTCACTGGACGTCCATTGTGATCAACACTGCGACCAAGAGCATTCTCATTTACGACCCTTTGGGAGATCCAGACTACATTGCGTACCTGAACAAAATCAAAACGCGCCTTTGCAAAGAGAGCAAGTTTGCTTCGTACAAATCCGTTGTTGTGGCATCTCCTACCCAGAACGACGGGAATAGCTGTGGTATTTACGTACTCAACTTTATGTGGAGGCTTCTTGACGACAAGATCAGCAATGTGCAGAAGGACCCTCAGCTGAATAGCTTTAGAGTTCGGATGTTGTCCGCACTACTAAGTCAATAAATGCACTCATTTCATGTCAGATATTGAAGTAGTGTTTGAGTCCGAGCTTATCCGTATTGCCGCCGGTAAAACCTCAAGTACAAAAACCTGTTTTAGAACCTGTTGTCAAACCTGCTAGATATCCCTTCACATATTTGGGATATCGTGCTGATATCGCTCTAAGTACAACAACCTGGAGTAAAACCTGTTTGAATACCTGGGATGATGTGGCGTGTCACGTTTACATGCACAAAACTGGCGTCCCAGACACTGTATGAGCCCCACACAAGAATTGCAGACCTGCCATCCAATCATTACGATTACAGCAACCTCCGCACTTCAACAAATTGGGTTGTGCAAATCCTTTTATTCCACCGTCTCGTGAGGATGCAGAGCTCTAAACAAAACAAAGAAAGGCCAAGATGCGTAAATTACATTTTTATTTCAATGCGAAATACATTACGACCTGGTCTTCAGGTTGTGTACCAGGTTTAATTCGCACATCTATGCACCAAAAACCTGGGCAGTAACATCGTGCTTTAATTTTTCATATTTTTAATTTTAAATAAGAATCACACATTCACCGACGGTTTAGCAAGTTTTCTATTAACGATGGTTTTGTGGGGATGTATCTCCTCCTTCAGTGTTACGCTTTCACGTATGCTTTTTCGGCTGCAGCTTGTCAGCGTATCGGTCAAGAGAACTACTGGATTAGAAATTAATATTTCTTAATATGAGCCTGCTAAAACATTGTCCCCTTTTCTGCTATAAAATGTAATTTAAAAAGAAAATCGGAAATGGAAAATGACGCGATCTATTTTTAGACGACAAGCGTGGCCAAATTTCAGGAAGAATTAGGCTAGTTTCTTTCAGCTCCTACGTCAAAGCGTTTCGCACTTGTTTTCGTTTATGTTTTGGCATGGGTCCCGGCTTAAGCCACACTTACCGATACGTGCTGGCTCCACCTGAAGATGCGGGATACATAGTGCAGTGTCCTTTGTAAGTGTCACGCTTGTGGGCCATGGTCTAAACAGAAAGGTGTAATGTATCGCGATGATGTCCTATCGACGTCTGTGTAGAGTCGTACAGCGATTCGATACGCTTCCCGTCCTCTGTAGCAGCGCAAATTGCGAAGATACAAGGAAATATTTCATCCTACCACCCGCCACAGGCACATTCTGAATCGGATAGGTTGACGAGGCGTCAGGTGTGGCTGTTTCCGTGTCGCGATTGGGGGCCAAGATGCTGAATCGAGTATGCACCATCCATCAGCGGAATATTTGCGCTTTCAGCTCTTTAAACACTGGCAAAGTAGTCTCATTTATTAAGCTTCATGCTCTAATTTCAGGTTTTACAATATAAGCATTCACGAGGCGTGGAGTTTAAAATAAATGAATATTTTGAATGGAGAGTATTTACTTTTTTACAATCCAATCAGCACCTATCATTGACTCGCATGCGTACTTAGCAATGAACTGGTTTTCTACAAATGCGAACTTATCTATCTGTGAAACGTTACTGTAGAATTTCCTCGCAAAGCACAATAAAACTACGGTATTTCAACTGCATTGTACAGTACTACTAATACAGAAGCAGCTACTGCTATAGCAGCCCTCTTGATCATACAGACATGCACATTCTGAAGTTTGAACTACTACGTAGTATTAATATTATTTACAAGTACATAGTACTGTAGTACTGTAGTACTGTATTAAGCGAGAAAAAACATTGGGTCCAATGCAATACTACAGCTGAAATTTCGCTTTATCTAAGCATCGTTAGCTCTCCAGCCTCTTAAAAAGTGGGCACTGTGCGGGTCTCAGCCCAGGCGTGCTTAGGCTCCGTCCAGACCTGCACGTTTTCGAATGTTGCGTTAGCGGAAGCCGTCAGAGCAATGCCGTCCGACTTCGTCTGGCTGGCACACGGGTACACGCGAGCCGACAGCGAGAAGCGGCCGTTCACAAACACCTCCACGCTAGACACATCCACGAACACGTGGAAGCTCAGCTTTTCTCGGGTAGCTTCGCACACCTCGTTCTGCGAAGCACCCGTGAACAGGTCGTACAGATAGAAGAAGCCCCACACAGAGTCCGAAATCGGCTTCACGCCGTTGTCCTTGAACACAGCGCATTCAGCTGTCGAACTCTTGGAGCGGTCAATGGTCACCTTTTTCTCCGCGTCGTCGTAAAAGATAGTCGTCACCTCATCGCCAGCCGAGCTACGGCGAACCTCAAAGCCAACCTTGCTGCCGCGTTCAAAGTCCGAAACTTCAGCAATCAGCTCGAATGAAGCACCCGTCGAGTTCAGCACCTGCGATGATCCATTCACGGACACGCTGGCCACCTGCTCGAGTGCGTCTACGTTACGGAGCAACTGCAGGTCACTCAGTGGCTTAACACCGAGCGTCTTGATGGTCTTGCTCTGCTTTGTCGATCCGTCGGCACACGATACGTCCTTTGAGTCGGACACGATCCAGTCGCCCTTGCCGACCAGGTGCTCGTCGACGTCATAGATATCGCGCACAATGGTGATCCCCACCTCGCGGGGCACTGACAAAATGCCGTCCCAGCCCTGGGGCTGTCCCGTGGTGAAGTTGTTGTCCTCGGTGATCCAACCGATCAGTACATTCTTACCGTCCTCGTCTGTGTAGATGCTGTTGGCGTACCAGTCACTGCGATCCGACACACCGACCATCAGAGGAGTAAACAGACCCGCCTCAGGGTCGACCTCCACGCCACAGCCGCCACCGGAGAACGAGCCCGTGGCCCACATCGGGTACCGATTTGGATCACCTTCAGCAGCAAACAGCATCACGTTGTGGAGCTCACCATCCTCATCTGTCATTTCGCGGTAAATGGTGGTCTCGAAGTTGTAGCCCCAGTTGGCGCTGTAGGGAGAGAATGTCGTGTTTTTCTCCTGTGATAGAAGGTAGCCCTTGTACTCCCAGTTCACGTAGTCCTCCGCGTGATAAAGGAAAATACGCGGACCGACGTTGTGGATGCCACCAGCGACAAGGATGTAGTTGCTGCCCTTAGAGGCGTCATAGCCAAAGCGAGCATCCAAGGACTTGGAATGGAAAGGCATCGGGTCACGCCAACCGGTCACGTTTAGACCCTGCGGGGGTAGCTCGATCAAAGGTTCGCCGCCCTTCTGCCAGGTCTTGCCGCCGTCGTCTGTAGTCGCGTACACGACGTGCTCACCGAAAAGATATTCTTTCTTCCATGAAATAGGGAGAGCAGTGACACCCGTGTAGAATACTGTGTGCTTGCCGTCAATAGCATTGTTCATCGCGAAACCCGAAAACACGCCGAGGTTGTCCCATTTATCCTCGAACGGGTGAAGCGCATCTGGGTAGTCCTCCCAGGTCACTTGGTCCTTCGACACGGCATGGCCCCACGTCATGTTGCCCCATACTGTCGAGTTCGGGTTCGACTGGTAGAACATGTGATACAAACCGGTGGCTTCATCGTAGTACGGCGCGCACGGGTCGTTCATCCACTTCTCGCGAGGGGTGAAGTGGTAAACTGGGCGGTATTGCTCGAACAGCTCAGTACCAGGCGCAGCTTCAACGGCATCTTGAGCACAAGCTGTCTCCGTGCTGAAGACGACAAAGGCGCCGAGGGCCAAAATGCTCGGAATCACCTTCATGGTTGGTTTTATAAAAGGCTGCGAAGATCGAGTGGTCTTGAACTTGGAAAGTGACTTCCGTACTTCGAAGTAAGTTGTAAAATGAACTGCAATACACGTGCAGTCTACCTGGTACCGCTCGTGCCGTGTGTACTTGAAGTTGAGACGAATCAACTAAAGTACTGTATGCGTTTCCCTTGACAAGGTCGTTGTTAAGCTCGCTTTGCGCGTGTTTTGTACGAATTTGCAACGTGTCGAACTTGATTTACTTCAGCTTGCAACGATTTGGCTGAGACGTTCGGAAACCTGCCATATCGTGTAACCAAAAGACGCAATCACCATTATTCGATACAAACGCGTGTTGCAACACCTTTATAAATTGTTATCCCCGAAATCTAAAGGACTGAAACATGTCAATCTGAAACACATCTGAGCAGATAAGTTCAAGCGACCATTGATGGGCAACCAAGCAGAGTCTGCCGCACCGCAAGGGGAAATTCTTCTATTAATACATGTACTGTATTATTAAAACATGTACATGTATTAATAATACAGACAATATTCTTTGCCGTCTGAAAGCAGACCAGCTCAATTACTACTACCGGTATACTTCAAAAGGACGCCAGGTCATGTAGATGAGCTCAGTCGCCGACGAGGTTTCTAGGAATTCCTAAATGAGAGGCGGCGGCCATCGGTGTTGGTCGTAAAGCGCTTCTTTTCATTTTTAGCGAATGAAACTCGGAGAATAACGATGTGTGAATTTCCGAAATGACTCAGTGCTATATGTTTATTATCGCGATTAGAATTCTGTGTTTTTAGGAACTAAATATATCTTTTGTCAGCGAGAGATATTTTAGTAATAAGCGGTACATTTCTGTATGCGTTTAAAGGTACTGTACTGACTAGCAAATTTCATAGGAGCTGGTCGATAAGCAATTTCCCATTACTGACCGATAAAAGCAAAATATGCAAGTGATACGTCAATTTTGGAAAGACATACTGCAATTTTTCTATCTACAGGTGTACCAATGTTATGAAAAATTCGAGCAGGTGGCCCACAGAGCGGTTCAGCAGCAGACTAAAGTGGTGGTTTTTAAATCGCTGAGAAAGACCACGTCGGTCTATCACTTAAAAGCTACCCGTCCAATTTTATGAGTTCATATGCCGACACGCGGCTTGCGGTAGGAATGGAATTTACAAGCGTAGCTGTCCTGCGTCAGAGAGTTATGTAACGGGGTACAATCCAGTAGATAACAGTCTCAAAAAGTGTGTCTTAGCGTATGGTGCTTGATTTCGCATAAAATCTAATTTTATGCGAATTCCATGCCTTATCCCGGAAAACATGATTCTTGGAAAAGCACATGCTTGTTTTTTTGCATTTACCCTGCTGTTTTTAGTATTTTCGCATCTCATGCTACTTCTGGTATAAGTACGATCCTATGAAATACAGTTGGCTACATTTGTGACCCAAAAATTAAATTATGGAGGCTTCTACCCAAGAGTCGGTCTATTTCAACGACACCCGATACCTTAGTTATGAATTACTCTTTGTTATCAATACCGGTACACTATTGTACTGGCGAGATGAAATGCACCACCATTTTTTTGTTTTGCTCATAAATACAAAAGTAATTATCGGATTAATGCCGGCAGACCCGCAATGGAAACAGGGTAGCACAGAGATCACAGACAAACACACGTTGTTTGACTTTCTTGTCTTTTATTAAAACGGTGGAAGCTCAAACGTCTGCGGGAAATTGATGCTGATCATGCATGCACAGAACATTTCTTGCGATATTTAATAAACAAAGAAGCCTAAAGTGACAAGCTTTACGCCAGAATGCAGCTTGGAATGCAACGCATCTGCAGAAGTTGGTTTTAGCTACAGGAGCAGCGTAGGGATTGCTGCATGCAGTGTTAAACGCATCGCCGACAGCCCCACTTCCTAGGATCAAATGTGCATAGAAATGAGTATAAAGGGCATTGTTGATTGTAATACTAAAGTTTGTAAGGACCAAAACATCTGATGCCGTATGTCAAGAACATAGCCTCGATTTTTTGGGCGGAACGAAAGACACGCACTTTTCGATTAAGTGTAGCATGTGAATTTGAGCAGATATTCAAGGATGATTATGACTACTTAAGAGAAGAAATCATTATCTTTCCAACAAAAAAAAGCCCATATAAATTGGGTAATTGGGTGAGAAGTTGTGAAGGGGCAATGTTTGGTGTTGCATTTCATCTCGCCAGTACAATATCAGGTACTCTACAAGTGCAAATACAGCAGCGAGACACTTCATCTTCCTCACTTTCCAACTTGCCAATGAGGTTGGAGGTCTCGTCCTCCCACTGTCGGTTGAGGCGGTCGAACACTTGGCTGGCTGTACTGGGCATCTTGGTAATTGACAAGTGAATCTGAGCTTCCTCTCTGTGCTTTGACTTTTTTCCAAATTAAATGGCCAGGATTTCGCGAAAACCAGATATATTATAGATAATACGATGTCGCACTAGTTCAGATACATATTTTTGCCAATGATACCACGCTGTTATGTATACTTGAATATTACAGCTGCAGCCTAGTTATATTAAAAGTGATTGAGCTATATGCGAAAATATCGCAGCTTAGAATTATTAAGGCGTTTTAAATTTGAAACTGTATTGTTTGCGCCAGATAGCGTTGTATCGTGAGCAAATACTGCTATATAAGGTACATGCACATAACTGACGAAAAATTCACTTTTTTAGCCTGTGGCCTAGTGTACACCAAGCTACACAAAGAGTGACCCGTCACTCTTGCGGACACCTGGTACACGGTACCAGGTGCTGGGGCATGAATGCTTAGCGTAACGTCTAGTTTGTAAAGAACCCATGCTAAGCTTACTTATAAATACATCAGTCTTCTTAGTAGCAGATCGTTCCCACTGAGGCCGGATACACGTGGACTAATGTTCACTCGGGTAGTAGATTCCCTTTTGCACTTCCTCTGTGCAAGGTGCTGTGTGACTCCATCACACTTGGTAGCACTCGTAGTCAATCCTACACCTTCGTGTGTAGATTGAGCTACCTGAATCATCTGTGCGCTCTACGTTTGAGCCACGATGGACCGAAGCGAGTTTTCTCGCTTGAACGACTCACAGTACCAGAGTTCGTTCGGAAAATGGGAAACATTTTTGGACAAGATGTTCTTTGCAGCTTGGCGGCGGCGACGCCTGCCGAACAGCACGAACGCGTGGCTGTGTTTGAGACCTACAAGCGTGGTCTCATCGCTCACGTCCGCGGGTGTTCGGAGGCCTCGATGGCCGCTCCCCAGGCAACTAGACATAAGCCGGTATGGTTGGAGGTCCCCGCGTTTGAGGGGAAGGAAGGAAATAACCTTCAGTTCTGGGTCCGTGAGGTGGAGATCGCCATCAAGGCGGTTCTCATCTCGGACGAGTCACTAAGGGTGACGTTTTCCATTTCGAACCTTTGTGGACGTGTCAAGCACTGGGCATACACCAGGGAGACGACATCTCCTGGATGTTTTACATCCTGGGATCAGCTGTGTGAACTGCTTCGAGCCGCGTTCCTGCCGGCGAACAACGTGTTCCGCCAGCGCTCACGCTCTCTCGCGTGTAAGCAAGGTAAATGTGAGCTGCATGAGTACGTGCAAGAGATGCGCACCTTGGTGGCATCTCTGGCAGGGAATCCTCTGCCCGAAGATATCAAGACAACAGTCTTCATGGACGGCCTGAAGGTCGGGCCTGCTCGCACCCAGCTATTCCGGGTGCAAGCGATAACTATGGAGAAAGTGATTCGATTCGCCCTCCAAGAAGAGCACAGCCACAAGCAGGCTGGTACTCCTCGGGAAGAGGAACATCGCCACGATGAGGGTGTGTTCCTCGGGAGGCGGAGCATCACAGCAATGACGATGTTGCTCCTGCTGTCACGCAGCCCAATGATACCGGTGCGTACAGCGAGCCGGAGTCCATGGACGACTTAAGCTCGAACGAAAGCTTGGTCCGCTGCTAAAGATGCGGCGGACATGGACACTATCAGCGTGTATGTCCCCCGCCAGTCCCCGGAAAGAAGACAGCCCGTGGACCCAAGGTCCCGTGGCGCAGGCCATGGCCAGGTGAACGAAGGCTCCCTGGCCTCCAGTAGAGGCAGTATGCCCTACTGAAGAGCGCTAAGTCTTCGTGGTGGGTGTGCAGGTTGAGCACACCACTGGACTTAGCCCAGAGAGACGTGGCTTTCTCAAAATGGTGAAGAGCAGTGATGGGCTGCTGGTAGTACACTCGGTACGGTACCCCTTGAGCGTTTGATGAGTTGATATGCCGCCGGAACGTCGCTTGGCATAGCGACACTCGACTGCACTCAATGTCAGAGTGTCGGGCGTGGGCTGGTCCTTGATTGACTAGCCTTTGGTACGGTAAAAGAAGTACCAGTGGTCCTCAACGGACCTGAATGTTTGGGTTCGATGAACTCGCGCACCGCGGTGGCGCTCGCAGTTCTCGCCATGAAAACCATGGCTGCGCCGAACATGACACAGCGCGGACTTTGGTGTGTAAGGCTGAGAAGGGCCTGTCAGTCCCGGTCTATGGCGGAGCATTGGTGAGTCATGTTTCCACCTCCGTCATGACTTGGGCGTCTGATACACACCGTCAGGACGCAGAAGCGTCACGGAGCTGTCAACATGCCGACAGCTATGCGTACAGTAAGACCATGCTCCGCTGCGACAATACCACGGGCATGGGTCTTTTGCCCGGCGTGTGGACCTGCTACACCAGCAGCGCCCAACGCCGAAGGTCGTCGCGCCGTACGGGCTTCGACAGTGGTAATGTCTATTAGCGCTACCCATTTGGATAACTTAGGACCACACAGTCGCCCAGACCTTAACTGAAGAGGAAGACGCTGGATGCGCTTCCTATGTGGGTAACACAGTACCACACGCAGTTGCCCAGACTATACCTAAAGAGGAAGGTATTGGCCATGCTTCCTGTGTGGATAATCCAGTGTCACACAAGGTCTCGAGTGCCTCTGAT